CAGACACTTTTATTGTCTCCATCCTGCAGATTAGTTAACTGAGCAAGTTCATGCAGCCTGCAAATGGACTTGAGCCCAGGAAACTTTCCTTCCATAAATGTAACCTCCTAAAATCTTACAATCTTTGTCATGTTTGCTATGAACAAAAGCATTTCTTAAGGCTTTTTTACGGTCACATTTTTGGACATGGTTATTTACGAAAATGACACTAGTAAGATCAAACTTGGTTTCATTAAGCATGGGTGGCATGCAGCAAGTAGTAAATTGTAAGAGATGTCCCTCTTCTCATTCTAGATGACTTAATATATTGTCTGGACTCCATTTCTCCTCTACTTGCCAAGAAAATGGCTTCTCTAACCACGAATCTTCCTGAGAACATCAGCTAGTCTCTCCTAGCACATATACACACACAAACCTACATTAGCCCAACAGAAACTAACCTTTCCTCTACTCCATTTCCTCTTCTTGTCACTTCTCATCCTTCTTAAATTCAGGAAAGATATAGCATTGCATTCATTCTGATCTCACTTTCTCAATCTCCCTTCATTCTTCAATCTACCAAATTTTGGATTCTGCTTTGCACTGTCCCACTGAAAGTGCTTAGGCCGAGATAAACTAAAATAGGAAAGTCCTAAAGGTTATGTTAAAGAGTTTACCTTAATGCCAAGGTTACGATGGAGGAATTTTAAGCAAGAGGTAAAAGAATCAGATTTGCATTTTTGAAAGAATACTTTAAAAAAGTTGAAGGACTCTTTTAAATTACATAAAAATGTCAGAAGAAAGTGGGAGTCCAGTTAGAATGTTCCAGATTTCCAGGAAAGAATGTGCAAGATATGAATTACAGATGTGGAGGAAGACTTGAGATAATAATGAAAGACACTGGTGACTGATTCATGAATGGGATGAGTAACAGGATAAAATCTCGGCTGAATTCCATGTTCCTGGCTTCTGTAAGAGGATGGGTAGGGTTTTGTTTATTGGGACACAGGACTCAGGAGAAAGAGTATGTTTGGAAGGAATGGTAGTTTACTTTAAAGTATGATAAGGTGGATGGAGACAGATCTGAAGCACAATAAAGAGGGAGGGATGGAGAATAGTTTTATATAGGGAAAATGTAAATGAAGCATAAAAGCAGATAATGTAAAAGCAGAGATATGAATACAGACACCAACACGGCCTCTCTCTACCCTCTTCTATTGCCACCAACCTCAGTTAACTAATCTAATCTAACAGGCATCTATCAAGTAAAGCTACATACTGCTCTTGAACTCATCCATCTTCTCAACAAGGGCCACTTTTCTCTAATTCTTCCATCTGTTTTATTATCAAGAAGAAAAAGGGTCTTTATTGAATGTATTTCACAGTAAAGAATCTGCACTCTAGTACAAGCAGCACTTTTGTCTTCATGTAAATATTAAAGTAGTACTTTAGGTCTTGCTTTAAAGGAAGGAATTTATAATGGGATGACTCTACTCCTTATATGGAATGTAAAGAAGTTAAAAGAAAAAAACAAAACTAAACTATATGAAAATGGGCCTTCTCTTACACATTTTGACAGAATGTAAATTTGCATATTCTTCCTAGAAAGCAGTTTGGCAAAATATGCCAAAATTCCTATGATTTCAGCTGTAATTTTTTTTTGAGCAATCAAGAACAGGTCTAACAGAGATTTTTGTATAATAATAGTTATAATAACATGATTTGTATAAAATTCTGGAAACAACCTAGAGATGCAAAAATAGGTTTATTAAAAAAATCAAATATTATGAAAACATTAAAGTGATATTAAAGTTATAATGAGCAGTTTGTGCAGAAAAGTTAAGAGAACATCAATATTCTATGTTTATTTTAATACATTACATTTTGGATATAGAAAAAGGACTAGAATTTTATACATGTAAATTATAATATTTCAATTATAGGCACTCTTCCTACTGAACTCTGTATTACTAACATGAGGACAAAAACAAAACAATCAAATGAAACCACAGCATGTTGGGAAGGAGGAAAAAGGAGGGAGAAAAGAGAATTTTTTTGTCCAGTAGTCTCACTTGACAGGTTTCTCTTATTAAATATTTGTCCCAAATAAAATGATTTATCAGGTAAACAACAGTGACAAAACCCTCATGCCACAATTCCCTTATTAATATTCTTCTCATTATTCTATGTTGACATCTTTATCTTCCAAGATCTATCATGTGTTCCATATATTTTCTAGAATGAACCCAACTTTTCTAATCTCTCTTATGAGTTAACCTTTTAAATCTCCTAAGCCAATAATTATCAATTCATCCATACCCCCATACCACTGTTTCCTATGTGATATAATCAAATTATTTCATCTTTCTTTTTTCCTCAATTTTCTGATCAGTAAATGAATGTGAAGACAGTATCTATTCAAGTACTGAAGATTAATTGAGATAAAACATGGATAGCATTTGGAAGAGTATTGGCATATTGAAGTTATTGGCTGCCACATATCTTCATGGGACCTTCTGGGAGGTAAACTTTCTCTCCCACTCTGGAAAGTCATGTTGGAATGTGAGTGAAAGTGGATTGATTAGCAGACAACTGCTCTAATTAAAAATATAATCATAGGGGCCTCCCTAGTGGCACAAGGGGTTAAGATGTAACCTATGAAGCTGTCCACAGCCTCTGCAGCACAAGTTCAATCCCTGGCCAGGGAGCTACCCACACGGCACAGCAGACCTCTCCTGTCTCACCCACTGCTCCCCTCAGCCATGTATTTCAGTCCATCTGCCTGTTCTGTTCCCCACTCTGTTTCTGGTAAATCCTCTCACCCCCTGCACCTCTGGCCTATACCTCAGTTTTTGAATGCATAAATAAATCTTTAAAATATATAGTCATATTGATTACATATATGTTGACATGTATACATATGAATATAACATAATTATATATGATCTATATGATCACATATGAATATGTATATTCATCTATATATCATAGATATGATATACACATATATCAGAGGTCATCTGAAGCCAAGATGGATGCAAGGGTCTCATGCTTCAAAGATGGTATCTAAAATGTTTTCAGGCTCATATAAAATGCAATACTAGGGATATTCCAATTTGGATAATCTCTAAAGTGAGATAGTTTAGGAGAACACTGTAAAACTGTGCCATATTTAATAGCACACCTCAACTCTACTTGATACTTAAAAAAAAATGTTTACCTAATTTCCTGACTTCACCTTTCCTAGGTTTACTTAATTCTGCTGAGTTTGATATTTTATTTGGATTGGTGATCGACCAGCTTTAATTCAGCTACAGTAGGTTTTTTCTTGCTTATTTCATTTTTGCTTCCAAGTTACCAATACTTTCCCTGAAGGAAGGTCAAAGTGCTTTTATAATCATCTTGCACTTCTTTTATTTCATACATAAATGTTTCTTTTGAAATTGTTATACACAAGGAAAAGATGGAGCTCTTATATTTAAATTCAAATTAACCAAGAAAGACATAGATTTGTCACAATTCTCACCTTATCCCAAATCATATAACATGGGTGCAGGGTTGGGGGAAGGGTTTGTGAAGAGCTTGTAGGATCTGGCCTCTTTTACCATCACTGTTCACCCTTTTAATAGCACACAAATATTTTAAAGGGCAAGTTCAAGAGAATACTGGGAGGCTATTATGATGTGAAATGTTCACTTTATCTGGAATCTTGATATCAAAGTTCTGGTAGAATCAGTCATTTCCGTTTCCTTTCAGAACTCAAGTCACTTTTAAATTTCAAATTATCAAGTATAAACTTTATTGTTTTTAGAACAAGACCTTTTTTTTCCTCTCATAGGCAGAGGAGGGTTCCAATCCTCACTGACACTCAAGGTGGATTTCATGAGGTACACTTCAGAGCTCCTGAGAATAAGCTTCAAATGGTGTTTCAAATAGAAGAGGGTGACATGAGAATAATTTGTCACTAAATAAGAGTAAGTTTCAGTAACTGCGGAATACATTCGGAGATGGTGGTTTCAGAGACAACCTGGGCCTTTCTTTATTATGACTGCTCTAAGACCATTCTCTCTTGGGGGAGCTGAGCAGGAGGTAAGCAGGTGTGGTTATAAAAGGACAACCTGAGGGATCTTCATGGTGACCAAACTTGCATACGCTGAGTGTGGTCGTGCATGCACAAACCTACACGTGTGATGAAACTGCAAAGAACTAAACACACACACACAAACACACACTGGTGGAAGCAATATTGGAGAAACGAGAGTAAGATCAGTAGATGGTATTTATGTTGTTATCCTGGCCACACTGTATTCTAAGGTGATATCTTTGTGATAGGGCATTGCAGATTTGCAATGTGTTACCATTGGGGAAACAGGGCAAAGGGCTTATAAGACCTTTCCATATTATTTCTTACAACTGTATGTGAATCTCCATCTATCAGAAAATAAAATGTATTCAATGAAACAAAAAACAAGTTAAACATGCAAAATTTCATAGTGATAATTTTTGCTTCTGACCCAGGAAGTAATCTGAGACCCATAATATGCACAGCATTCCAAAGGCTGAATCAGAGAATCATTAACATTGATGTTAATGCAGCATATTGATTACTTAGTACTGCTTACTAAGTACTGATTACTTAGTACTGCATTACTTAGTACTGCATGACTAATACATCTAATTACTTAGTACTGATTACTTAGTACTGCATGACTAATACATCTCTTGGATTAAATTGTGAATTGAAATAATTTTTAAATGACTATGACAAGACAAAAAATTCACCTTAATATTTCCTGGCACATATAATGTATTCAAAAATTTGCCTGAAATACATACTTGAAAGTGCTCTAAATAAATAGAAAATATTTTAAAAAGAGGCTGCCCTATCGCCATAGAAGTTTGAAAACTTTCAGTCTATTTTTTAAACAAAATTAGTGATAAGTTTAAGCAAATTAACATATAATCTATATTGTATATTTAAACAGTAAAACAGATATTTATATACTCAGCTTAATTCTTACCTTAATGGCAGGAATAGGCTTTTTGGGGATAAAATGGTTTCTCTCAAGTGGTGGAATTGCTGTATTTTGTTCTTTCAGTCGCATCTTGTTCTCTGCTATGATTTTCTTGCGCTGTTCAAGATAAGGTCCAAAACTTGGCAGTTTCTAAAAGGAAAACACACAAACAAGAAATCACATTAGCTCATTGAAAACTGTGAAGATATAAACACATAAATATTATAAATATTATCAACAAACAAATGTGTGTTTTGAGATTATTTCATGAACACTGTAACGAGGTCTTCTTCATTCTTGCATCACTCGTCTTCTAGGTATCATTTTCCATTAGGTATTAGTTAGAGGACAGCAGTTAGAGAGCACAAAAGCACAATTCCTTTACCAAATATGTATATAGCAGACACACACATGTTAATTAAAATACACTTCTAAATGGAATAAAGTTCAGAATGGTAAGCCAAATCCATTCCTTTAAAACAATAGCCATTAGATAGACCATTTGTTTGGTCTGTATAGGTAGAAGGTGAAACCTATTGGTGATTTTTCCCTCTTCATGAGGTTTTTAGCAAGATATATACACAGACATAGTCCCTGACAAATGATTTTGTCAATAGCAAAGTACTTTGCCGAAGTTCTAATCTGTATCTGTATTTTATATTGTTCAAATTCTTACTACATCTCTTTAAAGATTGTAATAAAGTTAATTTCAATTTACTAGAACACCTGAAAAAGAAAATGGTAAAAATACTGATTTCTCTGTACAGAAAATGAATTTATTTTGCATGAAGGAAGCAAAAATAGAAATGAAAAGCAGAGGAAATATCACAGTGCTTAAACAAACTCCATCAGTATTCAAAATCACACCATGGAGCTTTAAATTTCAAGGTTATTCAATAGTGCTTCACAAAAGTTCATTTAGAACGATACCTGGTGTCATGGAAAATGGTAAGTGGTTTTAAGTTAACACAAAAATGCCCTCACGCTATTCATTATCCTACAATTATTTCCTCTTCACTTTGTCCTTCTCCTCTTCTAGAACCTTTGAGCTTCACTTTTACTGTCATATATTGCTGATGATAGACACCGCTGAGTTCCAAATGTCCTATGTCTGCCTGGACCTGGAATTGCTAGGTCTCTTTTTTAATACTGCCAAAACACCCTCTGTCTCTCCAACAGAATAAAGCCCATTTATCTAGCTGATGGCGACCTAGAACACTACAGCACTCCAAGGTCATCCTGCTCTCTGACCTAGCAAGTTACTTTGGTTTAAAATCACACTTGTTTCAAAACACTGGCTCCACTTGCCAAGTTGCATGCAGCCCCAGGAAAATAAGTATCTGGTTCTTTACAGATGTCAACAGGGTAGGTAAACTAAACTAAAACCATGCTCCAATTTAACCAAACTGCAAGTGCAAATTTATAATAGCAGAGCATATTTCTGTGAAAATATTTAAGATTATTACTTCCATTATCAATTTGCTGTAATTATGTCAAGTCAAGCAAATGGAAACAGTGCTATGAATGCCAAATTAATTTATATATAATTAAACAGGAACTATATACTTAATCTCTACACCTTAATGCTTTCCTAAATTATAATATTTAGAAATCACATTATTAGGAAACAATATGATGTAGTGAGAGAATAGACTGCATCTATTTTACCATAACGTGATGCTGTCTGGTTAAACAGCAAAAAATCACTAAGCATAAAACAAATCCTCAATACTTATCACACATGTAAACCTTCTTAGTGAGAAAAGATAATTCTTGTTTGAAATGGCCTCTTGTGAAATGACTACTTCCTATAGCAGATGAGGTGTTAGGGATTACGTTTGGAGCCAAAGAAATCTCTCTGGAATCCTGATTACACCTCATAAGGTGGTGAATGTATGTCATATGATATAAATCTTGTCAAAATATCACTGTCTCTATTCTTCTCTTATACATCAAGGGTATATAAATCTTAATCTTATATTCTTGAAGATTATCAAGAATGCTTAAGTTGAAACATCTGACCTCTGTCTCTAGCAAACCCCTCATGGTAACAAACTCCATGCAAAGAGGAACAATTACCCTGATTCTCCAATTGGGTCACACCACTTAACACCACCTAGTTTTGCCTAAGAGCTTTACAAAATTTATTTGAAAGAAATCATTTTTGGAAATTTTTGAATCTATCTTCTTTTAAACAAAATAAGAGGAAATTTCTCTCAGTTAATATTGTTTTTTTTTTTTATTTAAAGGGAAAAAAATAAAGCAACTCTATGAATAAACCTAAATGATGATAGGGTTAATCTTGATAAACCCATCATAAATTGAAAATACTGTAAGTGGAAAATGCATTTAATGCACTTAACTTACCGAATAACATAGCTTAGCCTGACCCAACTTAAATGTGCTCAGAACACTGACATTATCCTACAGTTGGGCAAAATTACCTAGCACAAAGTTTATTTTACAATAACACATTGACTATCTCATGTAATTTATTGCATACTGCACTGCAAGTGGAAGCAGTCTGAGGAGCATGGGATGTCCACTCTCTAGATCACTTAGCTCTCTGTACTACAGCTCACGGTCCTGACCAGCATTGTGGGAGAGGATGATACTGCATCTCACTAGTCCGAAGTAAGATCAACATTCAAACTGGAGGTGGTTTCTACTGAATTTCACACCATGAAAAAGTAAGAAAGCTATTAAGTTGAACCTTCATAAGTCAGGGACTATCTGTAGATAAGTTTAAATCAGATAATTTCAAATGGTTCCAATGATAATATTTCTGATAATAGTAGTAGTGTAATAATAATAATAATAATAATAATAATAAATACCTTGGTGTGAAATAGAATATACCTTGAGTATGAATCTACCAGCCTGATATTTCTACAATATTTTGTAATGGTTGACCACATTTGCTATACAAAAACTATACAAACTTCCATGGTTAACCTTAGTCCAAAGGAGAGGTTCTCAATTTAACATAAAGAATTCTACAGAATTTTCTATGTTAGGATTAGAAGAATCCAGAGAAAAAATTTTTCTTCAAATTGTAAGTGCACACACACACACACACACACAGCGTCAGTGATTGCCCCCTTCAACTCTCTACTATTCGCCTCCAAATCTGACAGGATCCATTGTGCTAGTCCCTCACTGCTATAAGGCGATCTCAGAGGCCGCCGTGTAGCACCAGCTTCCTAAATCTTCAAGGCAGCAATAGGCATTTTGCTTTCTACATTAGTATAAGAAAGTTAAAGTGTCTTTAAACAATGACAATGTGTATATTTGATGCCTCCAGGATATTTGAGGGCTGAACATTTTAAAAGTTCAGTTTTCTGAAAATCTAAAAGATCAATTCTCCCCTATGCCAGTGGATCAACTTTACAAGTCTTACACTTAGGCACATGTTTGTGTTCTCATCTTGCCACAAAAACAAACCAAAGAAAAACAAAACTAGGAAAAGAGTGAAGATGAATGAATAGTCGGCCACTGTATATATGTGCAATCAGTGATGATTAATAAAGCATTTAGTTCAAATCTCTGCCTGAACATATAGTTAATTGATTTCCTATTGCAGGAGGAGAAGCAGCAGGGACTTTTCCTCTTCATTCATTATTTTCTTACAGGAAAAGTTGTAGCCCGCGGTAACTCAAAGCGAGAGGTTTTGAGCATCATGCTATATTTCTTAAACAAAGGGAAAAGTTTTTAGGACTATCAAAAGCTGCTTTATAACTGATGAACTGAACAAAGCTCAGAAATGGTGTGATTTTTGTTTCAATAGTTTCTCCAGGGATTCATCATTGATGAATTTGTTCTCACTAGAAAAGCTAAATCCTACTCATTTAAAGATAACAGTATCTCACACTAAAACTGTCTCTATCCAGATATAAAAAGCATTACATTGCCGATAGAAAAGTGACAACATAATGAATCAACAATGATACCTTAAGCCAGCAAAGCTTTAAGGTAAAGAAGTCTATTTGGATTATAATTTATTCATGGATCAATCTAAAGGTAATTGAGCATATTATGAAGTAGAAAAGGGTTCTTGTTTCTAATAGAAGCAGGCACTGGTATCTTCCAGTTTAAATTGCATAATTTTTATGAGAATGGCAGCAAGTTGGCTAATAGCACTGGTCTATAGTGCTGTAATAAATCAACTCCATTCTACTAATCATACTCTCTTATCTGATTGGTAAAAACAACAGCAAGAAAAGTAATTACTTTGATTTCTAAATTGCAGTAAGTTAAAAAAAGATTTTAGGTTTATATGGATACAATATATACAGTACACACGCATATAGAGAGTGCAATGTATATATACCCATATAGCTAGACATATCATGACATATGTGTGAAGGTGTGCATATAGTGATCAGATGAGGAATAACTTAGATGTAAAGGAAGTATGTTTCACATCTCTCTAAGAAACTAAGAAACAATTTCTTTGATACCTATATGATTAGTTATACTACTTATTTTTTGCCATTTATTCAACAAATACAATATCAAATTCCTACTCTGGGGAGGAAAGTCACCTGTGCTACATTAAAGGCTAAATAATGTCCACATGCTGTGTTTACACATGCAAATACTTTTTGTCATTCATTAAGGTTGAGTTGTAAGATTGAATTGACTACTGAAGTTATCTAAAGGCATAATATGCTAAGCTCCTTGGAAAACTGATCTCAATGGAATGACCACATAGAAATCAAATGGGGAAAAAAGGAAGCAAATAAATCTTAAAGAGTTGATCTTCAACAAAACTCTGAAGACAACTGAGCTTTTTGGATATCTAACATAAAAAAAAGTGGAAACACAATGGGTTGGTTCTCTGTTTCTTTTTGGTAAACAAACCTTCATTTCAATTACTGTATATTCAATGTGATGCAAGGCAGAATGGTAGATAGAAATGAGAAATCTGTTTTGTTTGGTCTGAATTCAGTTATTTCTTTTCTTCTCTTCCCTGACTAACAAGAGTGACCATTTTCATTTGATCCTGACTTTTTTTTTTTATTTTCAAAATTCATTTTAGCATACTTTGGATTCAGAGGTTCAGATTTTCACCTAAGTAAATGGCATGTTGCTTAATCACCAATGTAAAATAAAGCAAAGTCTCATGTTATTATCAAATTTGGATAATA